ACCGCTTAGCACTATTTAAAGAAAACTGTTTTTGGAAATACTGAATTGACAGCAAGGTGATCTGAGTGTCTCCCGCCATAACGCTTTCTATGTGCAAAACGTGCTTATGTTTGTATGTTTATTACAAAAAAATTATAACAAAAATATGGCGCAATAAACATTAATTGTCAATTTCGTCATTAAATACTAAACCAAATACAAAATAAATAGCACCATTAATTTTTGTAAAAAACTGGTTATTATGAAGTTATTTTAAAATTTGTAAGTTCAACCGTTTGGTTTCCTATAGAGAACAAAATAAACAAACTTCCTCTTTTATATATATATATTATAAATATTAGAATTAGTGCTTTGTATATTATTTAAACATCGCTTGAGTTTGTATATTGCTCAAACTGTAATTAATAAATAGTATATGGTTCTTTTTAACTCATTTATGTCCAGGTCTCCCAAGTCTTTAATTCAAAAACTGAATGTTGATGAAGGAGAAAATTTTAAACTGCTTCTTCATTCTTGTTAAAATAAAAAAATTTGATGAAATTATTTAATATACATTAACTCTGTGTGTTTTGAAAAAACCTCATATTGAATGAACAATATAAGTTATAGCTTTTGCATATTTTATATTAAAATAATAGTAAAAAATCTCGCAAATTTCACAATAAGAGATCTGATAACCGATTCACTTTTTTCAATGGTGAATTGAAAATTACAAAAAATTCGAACGATTACAAAAACTTAGATGTATTTCAATCCATTATGTGCTAAAAGCAAAACAAATGACTTGATCTCCTGCATCATCATTTTCCAAGTATTTGTTTGTTTGTTGTTAAGCGCAAACCTGTCCAATGGGTTGTGCCTACCAGAAGAGTTTAACCCTGAGTTTTAGCACTAGAAGCCCTCAGGCGTGGGTCCTAGTAAATAATTTCATTATGACATATGTAAATTACAAAATTATCTGCACTATTTATTACTAGTTCTCTTCAATACGTATAGGCGGAGTTACCATCGCAGACAATCAAAATTGAGCAATCTCAGTCTGATCGGAGCAAGCAAGTTTTTCGTCCAGCTATGTAAGTTCATGATTTTTGAAAGTTATTTCAGAGTGTAGTGAGTGAGAAACAATATTTGTTTATGATGAAGACTGTTGTAAATGCATTGCATTTTTTACATGTACACTAACAGTGAGTTTTATGTTTAGAGCTTTTACACAGGTAATGTTTAGTTACAATTTTTGATTGATAATCAGTACAATAATAAAAAGAAAACAAAACACATGTACTGATGATGTAGAAATAAATATGATGCTTAATCTAGCACTGAGTTATACCAATTTTGAGAAATTTCATCCCTTATCGATAACCTTGAACAAGAGCAAGTCGAAAAAGAAAACTAAGCTTCTTACGAAAATTAATTATTGTGTTTATATATCTAATGAGACTGTACTAATCATTAATAGTAATACTCGTACATTCACCATGCATATGTATCTCAGGCTCTCTGTAAAACATATTTACTATAGATTGATACTTTGCTTTACTATGCTATAATCAGGTCGTGTGTGGCTTAATGGCTAACGGTCCAGACTGTAAATCTGAGGGTTCGTGGTTTGTATTCTGTTGCCACAACAGTACTCTTAATTATCAGAAAATCACCTCGACTATTATGGCAGATGCAGTGTCTTTCTGTCTTCGATTTTGAGGATAATTTTTAATGTGACCAATAAAAGACTGTCATCTATTTTGAGGATAATTTTTAATGTGACCAATAAAAGACTCTGTCATCGATTTTGAGGATAATTTTTAATGTGACCAATAAAAACAGAATAATGTCTTCTTTGTAACTTACGTGTTTTTTGTTCTTTTTGTGTGCAACGTAAAAGTTTTTTTGGTAATATTTTAGGTTTTGAGCCTAATGAACTATTTCACTGAGAAAATAAGTTACATTGTTAATTTAAAATAAATCAAATTGCTAATCCATTTGTATTTTAACATGTTGAATTTCAAAATGTTCTTTATTGATGTTTTCTAGACTTGATCTTATATCTGATCATGTTACTAAAATCACTATTGGAAGGCTCCACTTCAGTGAAACCACAACCAACAACATGCGTAAAAAGGGCAAACCCAACCCTGATCAGCGTTTCTTCAATCTTGTTGTCAGTATTTGTGCTCATGTTGGAGACCAAGCTTATCCTGTGGTAGCTTACTCCTCTGACAAAATTATTGTTAGGGTAAGATGACATTTCTGTTATTAAGACATGTAATGAACTTAACAAGACCAGACTGTTATAATCAAAATGGAAATTTAGGACAATTTTTCACTGACTAAGTCAATGGTTTAAGATTTTTTTATTGTAAAGAGATCCTGAAAATCAAAGTCATTCTAAGCTAGTGAAATTTTTAAAGTGCTTAATTAAATGATCAAAGTGCTTGTGAAATGTTCTGTTTTATCTTTATAATGAAAACTGCAGTCATCTTAGGTTATTAGGAATTTTAAATTCTAATAACATTTGATTTGTCTTGGGAAAATACAATCATGTTAAAACAAGCAACACTGGTAACGTATATACGTTAGTAAGACAAAACATGTAGAGTGAATTTCTATCCATTTAGACCTTTAATAAACTTACTTTAATAGCTTTGCACTTGAAGTTTACTCATGTTGATTTTGTTAAATATTTAAAATGTTAAAAAATAAGAAGGATAAAATACTTAAAAGACTGAGGTATCACAGTCTAAGTTTTAATAGCAAACCCTGTATAACTGGCAAAAAAAAACAGACAAATAAGACTGTAGATAATATGTTGATTGGCACTAATAATCAACAATTTAAATTGTTTGCTTACATAACATTAAAGATCAAGTAAATGATACTTTATACATAAGATAATTTTATGGTACAAAATATAACTACAGGTGTTTTTCACAGCTACCTTCACCTTTTCTATCTTTGTGAACACTGATCTGAACCACTGGTGAAAGAGAGCAAGTTTTACACTGACTGTATAACTGTCTCATTTACACTCAACCAACATATTTTTTTTATATTCTTTCTCTTCAGTTTCTTGAAATCAAACTTAGTTCTTTAATTGTGATATTGATTTCGAAACCCATCATATTGTCATAACTGTAAATCTCTTGGTATGTTGGAAGCACATAATCTTAGAAAACTGTTGTTGTTTTTTTCAGTTACTTGCACATCTTAATAACTAGAAGATAGATGGCATTCTCAGAAAACTGAAAAACAATATATAAAATATAATTTCATTTTGATTAATCAAGAAGAAGTCCAATAGGATTTATTTCCGACAGATTAGTCAGATGGCAATCTGCAAATTAACATAAACTTTGGAAAGTTTATGTTAATTTACAGATTGCCATCTGACTAACTGTCTTATCAAACTGTAGTTTAAGTGAAAGTTTATGTTAATTTGCAGATTGCCATCTGACTAATCTGTCTTATCAAACTGTAGTTTAAGTGAAAGTTTATGTTAATTTGTAAATTGCCAGCTGACTAATCTGTCTTATCAAACTGTAGTTTAAGTGAAAGTTTATGTTAATTTGCAGATTGCCATCTGACTAATCTGTCTTATCAAACTGTAGTTTAAGTGAAAGTTTATGTTAATTTGTAAATTGCCAGCTGACTAATCTGTCTTATCAAACTGTAGTTTAAGTGAAAGTTTATGCTAATTTGCAGATTGCCATCTGACTAATCTGTCTTATCAAACTGTAGTTTAAGTGAAAGTTTATGT